CCAGTGCTCTCTGGGGTTGCCAGTTGTCTGAAAACCTTACAAAATATAAAAGGGCACACGTCCGGCTGCCTGAGGGGAGCTGCCATCCGTGACAGTATTCACCAAGTCGCAAGCATCCCACATTTGCTCCCAGGGCCTTGTCCCAGGTCCGAGGAGTTCCTTCTAAGCCCCACACAGCCTGTCTACCCTTTTATCCACATATTGTTTTCTCTGAGCCCCCAGCTATTTTAATCACATTTTCTTGGAGCCAGGCCCCTCCCCCTGTCAAATGACCCCTTTTCGGTTGCTGTGGGACAGGCAGCGCCGACCCTGCTAATGGCCAGGCGGTGTCCAGGGGTTGCTGGGTAGGGGGCAGGGCGGTGACACGGTGATAAGGACGTGCTGCCTCCCTCCCCTCCCTGCAGACTGCCCCCAGGTCCAGTGCGTGCACCCGTACGTGGCCCAGCAGCCTGACGAGCTGACGCTGGAGCTGGCGGACATCCTGAACATCCTGGACAAGACAGAAGACGGTGAGGCGTGAGCTGGGCGTGTCCCCCTCGTACCCCCTGGGACTCTGCACCCGGCCCCACACCAGCCTGAGGATGAGGTGGGGCATCTCAGCCCCCCACCCCCTACCCCCACCCAGGTGAAGCAGCTGGCAGGGCTGGCTGACGGCCAGTGAGCCCAGGCCCTGGCACGTCTCTGCTCCCCCACACCGCTCTGCCCATCCTGGCCTCCCTGGCTTTTCCTCAGGGCAGAGAGGACACTTCTCCCAGCGTCTCTGCTCTCCTCCTCCTGAGCCTGAGGCCTGCCTTCCCCCATGGCACCAGGCCCAGCCCGAGAGCCCGCCCGGTTCCATGCCTTCCCCTCAGACAGCCCTGGCCTCGGCCCACTCATCACGGTGGTCGTGAGGAGGCAGGAACACCTTCACCGTGACCCTAACCCTGACCCTAGACCCTGTGCAACAGGCTTCCAGGTGAGCCTGTGACCACCAGGCTCGGAGCCCCACGTGGGCCAAGAAGCCCCCCCCCCGCCCCCCCCCTCGAAAAACTGACTCCTTATTTTTGTCAGTTGCTCCTCCTCAGAAGCCCTTAAACTGCACAGAGCATCTCCCCATCCCCCAGTCCTGCCTCCCCTTTGAGGTCCTGGCTGGAAGACCTCAGGCTGGGGGCCTCCAGGGAAGGCATTTCCGCTGGTCCCAAATCCCAGCGGCTCACCCAGCATTGGAAGAGCAGTGTCTCCTGCCACCAGCCGCCCTCCCCACCCACAGAATACAAACAGCCTGCCACGCCTCCCACGGGGCTTGCAGAGAGCCTGCCCCAGCCCCTCAGACCCCAGGACCTGCCCAGAGACCTGATGCTGCAGGGTGACCTCTGGGGGAGGGGACGAGAGCCAGGGCGCGCTGCTGGTGTCGGCCACTTCATGACGGCCACCCTCAGCTGACCACCTGGCCCTCCAGAGGCTGAGGCTGACGCTCAGAGAGGGGTGCCCAAAAAGAGGGAGACAGTGGCGTTCCAGGCCTGGTAACCGCCAGTCAGCCACCACCCCCACTGGTCCCTTGGATGCCTCTTGCTTTGGGGGGCGACCCTTGGGGTCTCCTGGTCTCCTAGGACTGCCAAAGGCTCAGGAGTAGTTTCCAGAGTCAATCCAGGTGGGACACACCCTGGCACAGAACATGGCTGGTTCCGTCACGGCCATGTGCACACACACACTGCTCCCCAGAACGGCGTCAGTTCAGCACCTCCCCAGCATCTGGGGCAAACCCGATCCGAGGGGCTCCAGCAGGGGTTCGCAGAGCAGGTGCCTCTGGAAAGAAAGGCCCACTGAACTCCTGCGTCTCCTGCCCTGTGCTCCCTGCACAGATGGGAGCCTGGCCAGGAGGACAGCTCCCTGGAGCCCCTGCAGGATCTCCTGACCCTCCCCGTCCCCTCCCTGTGCAGGGTGGATCTTTGGCGAGCGTCTGCATGACCAGGAGAGAGGCTGGTTCCCCAGCAACATGACCGAGGAAATCTTGAATCCCAAGATCCGGTCCCAGAACCTCAAGGAATGTTTCCGTGTCCACAAGATGGATGACCCTCAGCGCAGCCAGAATAAGGACCGTAGGAAGCTGGGCAGCCGAAACCGGCAATGACCCCCAGCTCCCAGCCGGGCGGAGGGATGTGGGCGGGTGGGAGCAGGGCCTGGCAGGCAAACCCACAGACGGACGGTGGAGGGGCTTTGGGGGAAGGTGACCTTGTGCAGGCGTCACCCCCACCCCTCACCCCTGCCACGTGCTGAGTGCTCATGTGTCTTAGCCCCTCGCTTGCCAACTGGAAAAGGTGCCCACATCTTTCTTCTGATGCATTTGTAAATGAGAAAGTGTATTTTAAACAGTATTATACCACCTCTCCCTCTTGTCTCTGAGAGGGGGTGGAAGGGGATTGGCATGTTCCAGGGGCCTGCCCAGGCACTGGAAGCCCCAGACCCAGGGTGTCCCTGGCCAAGGGCAGGTGCAAAGGTGATGATTGTCATGACCCCCTGCACGTGTCCTTCTCTACCCTGGAAGCTGTTAGAATCCGCCTGGCGTGCAGATGGACTGCCTTTGCCTCATGAGCTTGATGAGCAGCCCTTGGTCTCCACTTCACAAGACTGAGAGGCCAGGTGCCTCTGTCCACCTCCACCAGCTTCTGGCTGCACGGCCGGGCCCTGCCTCATGGCAGCCCTACCAGAGCTTGGCTGAGGGCCCATGCCACCTCTGGTTCCCTGATGGGCTAGATTTAACTTGTGTCTTCTGGCCCCTTAAGGAGCCCAGGTATTGTAAGGAATGAATCGGTCATTGCATCCTGTATCGGTTATGGTTCCAAGAAAAGCAAGTATCATTTTTGGCTGCATTAAAAGAAGCATCATGTATAAAATAAAGGAGGTGAAGTTCCTCTTTATTGCCCTGCTGCACACAGGACTGAGGTTTTGGTTCTGGGCAGAGAGAGGAACCCCCTTCAAGGTCAGTGAAGAAGGTATATCCTGAAAGGGGGTTGAGGAGGCTTCTAGTGGAGGACGGAGCAGCCAGAGTCGAGACCTCAGGCTGGAAGTAGATTTGGGCCTCTGCCTGTTCGAGGACCCCAGAAACAGAAAAGGCTATTGAGGGAGTTGGGGACGTCCTTCTGCTGCAGTGGAAGTGAGAGCACAGGTTTGGAAGAACACAATGGGACAGAGGTGTGAGTGAGTGGCCCCACAGGGAATCTGACCACCAGACATGGGGCTGGGGCTTCCTACCTGGCCAGTCACTGGCCTTGAGCACTCTTTCCCAGCTTCGGAGGCAGCAGCCAGTTACCCAGAGGCGCAGCTCCTCCCCCAGCCCAACTGGCCCTACAGCCACCCCACCAGCACCCCGGTTCTGTCCTGGAGAGTAGACAGGCCTGAATATGCCCCCAACCAGGCCTGCCTGCCTGTCCGGTCTTTCTGCCAGGACACACTTTCCTCTGCGCCAGAAGAGGCTTTTGGTTAGAAGCATGAGGTTTCGATGCAGCAGGACTTTGTAGCTTCTTCCTTCGCACAGGCCACACCATGGTGGCTCTTGGCGTTCTTGAGACCACAGACCCTTGGAGAATTGCATGAATCCCGGAAGATGCACACACGTGCAACATGCTCGTTTAACTGGGGAGGCACCCCTCGTCCCATTGAGGGACTGGTGCTCTTGGGGCCTGTAACCCCCCACCCCTCTGAGGGGAGTACCAGCACCTGAGTCCCCCGGGAGTGAGGGAAGGGGGAGAGGGGTGGTTTCTGAGCCCCATGCTGCTGGGGGAGGGGGCTTGAGACAAAGAGTTGGGGGGGTTGGGGGAGTTGTCCGTTGGTCCTGGAACTTGTCCAGCTTTTCTTCTGTAAGCTGGGAAACAGCTTGCTGACTCAGATCATCTGCTCTAAGGAGGGCTTTGGCCACTGGAGGGCATGTGAAATGAAGTCATTTAAACGGGTTCATGAAAACTGGTCAGTTTCATAACAGTCCTTTATAAGCAGAAATTTGTAACCCATGATGAGTTTTGGGGAGAGTGTGTGTGAGTACCACATGTGCTCGTCTGGAGTATCCAGGAGAAAACTAGTCTTCGCAGGAACAGGTATGACCAGGAGAGCATGGAAACCAGAGGCCAGAATAGTTGCTGAGACATTGATGGGAAGACGAGCAGCAGCGCCCCACCAGCCACCAGCACCCACGCTGGGGATCTCCCCGGAGCCCGAGGTGTTAGCCCCTCCTCCGGGTCTGCGCCTCCCTCCAAAAGGCCCTTGGGGGGCTGGGACGGGATGGGGTTCTGGCTTCTTCCCTGCTGCCCCCAGAGCAGGTCACCCACTATTTTAAATCTCTCTCTAAATTAGAAGGGCTGGGCTTCCTGTGTGGAAGACAGCGAGGCCAAGGTCGGAGGGTCAGGGCCAAGCTGGAGGGCAGGTCCTCACCCCTCACGCAACACCACCCACCACCCTAA